CATGGGAAGAGAGGATCAGTCCAGTGTCTTTTGTTTGTCTCAAGTATCCCTTGGGTGCAAATCAAGGGATGGAAGGATAGTCAATAGCTCACGCTTCAGCTTCGGTTCGGGTTTGAGGGAGGCCGTATCGGTCGGAGGCGAGGTGTTTGAAGAGGAGGGAAATGAGCAATGGCGCAGGGAAGAAGGGGCAGTTGACTGCACCGAGACGGTGCTCCGTCTTTGGATATTTCGGTCCATGTTGCGTGTGTGTGTGTGTGTGTGTGTGTGTGTGTGTGTCTGCGGGTGAGATGGGCCAAAGTTGCCTAGCTAATGCGCATAATTGACAAGATGCGCGATGCCAGTTAGACTGCAGTAGGTTCGCAAGATCGTATCCACTAGGCGCGAGTTCGTTCAGAAGGATCGGGGAGGGAGTCGACCGATAGAGCAAGGAGGAAAAAGCAATGTCTCAGGCGGAAGGTGAGAAAACGCGACTAGGAAGGGCGATTGGTGACGAAACTAGGCCCACTGCGCGTCCAAGCGTCTAGTGGGAACGGCGAGGAGGGGAGGCAGAAGTGGAGGAAGTGTAAGTTCGGACGGGAAGAACAAAGAAGGAAGCGAAAAAAAAAAAAAAAAGAGGTCAAGTCAAGACGTGAGGGGAGCGAAAGAGAAAAAGTGTGAGGAGAAAGTGTGACGAGTCGATCGTTGGATCCTCACGGCCAAGAAAGGGGACCGAGTGACAGGAAGATGATCTCCACACATGCATCCATCCATGGAGGGAGGGAGGGAGGGATTAGTTTAGTGAGAGCGATCCGGATCTTGAGTTTCTCGGTATGTATGCATGCAGGCATGCGTTGGATTTTGGGGGGAAGTTACTGTGGTATGAACGGAAGGTTGCCAAGCAACAAAGAAGGTTGACTGAACAACGAAATGCCAGCGAGGGGGGAGCAGAAGAATTTGAGGATGAAGTGAATGCGTGATGATGATTGTGGTGAATGCAAGCAGGCAGGTAGGCACGTAGGCAGTCTGGATGGTCTTGGATCGAGAGAGGGGAAAAGGCGTGCAAAGCAACGAGATAGGCTCAAGGAACAAACGATCGCAGGGCACTAAAACCCGGGCTAAAATGGCCTTAGCGGAGCACCAGCAAGTCAGGAACTGGATCCCGGTCCCGGTCGCTCTTCCCACCATCTCCCCAGCGGGTTTAGTGCGGTTTAGTGCAGTGGATTAGTGGATGGTCTCCGATGGCTGGGCCGGCTGAACCTGAATTTAAGCTTCCAATCGCCTTTCTCCTTCTGCTATTGTCCTGAATTTGAGGACCACCAATAGCTAGGGTGGCTGGTCAAGTGTAGTGGTTGGAAAACCCGTACCTTTTTTTATTTCTTTTGTTACCACAGTCCATCCCTACTGTAACCTCTCCCTATTGCTCCATGATCCATCCCTCAACTGATCACACGCATCCTTACGGAGGATATACAAGGATCGCTACCACTGAATTGCAGGGACGGGAATCATCAATGTCAGTGCCCTTCTCCCCCACTTCATCGGCTAAAATCTCACGATTCCACTACCCCTCCTCTCCATCAATTTATCTGCCATCTATCTAGTATAATCATCCTCAGTGTAGCCGCCCGGAATTGCAGCAGAATCTGATCCGTCAACTTGCCCTCCCTTTTTTTTCCCCTTCAAGCTGCCCCACGTTCCAGGGACCCATCGGCCGCCCGTGGTTCTCCCCTCCCCACTACACCAGTCCGTCTGCAATCATCGTCTCATCATCCCCATCGCTCTCAGCTTTAGTCCTTCATCATCGCCCCGTGACAGATAACTTGCCCCATCGTTCTTCCCGTGGCTCGTCTCGGTCACCCAGAAATAGATTTTCTCTTTTTTCCTGTTCCCCTTTTACTTTTCCATTCTTTCCAGCTCTCCCAGCTCGTGGGCCTTAAAACACAACCCCTCGGTTATGCCGGTCGTAGGCGCTTTTTACTCCGCCAGTCGGAGTTGACATGTCCTTCCTGTCATTCTTATCTCGGGGAACATTGAGCTCGTGACTTCCCTCCATATCTCCGGAGCACGGAGTACAGTACATGAAGATCATGAATCTGCGTGAGGGGTTATCCGAAGCGATTGACCGGAATTTTCAGATGATAGGTTTCGGGTAACTGTTTCATGTTGTTCCTTCAATTAATCGAGTACCAGCAGGACATTAAATGAGCCGTTTCAAATCTTTACTCAGATGTCAACCAGTATGACCACATTTACCAATCAGACCCATACATACATAGTAAATCCAAGGATAATGAATATTATAGTCATTCACATTTAGATACTTCATAATTACTCTTAGTCTTCTGTTAAATTTATGTTCATACCGGCGAGCACAGCTCAACCTTTCAACAACCCATACCTTCCACCCAAAACCCACTACCATCACTTCTTCTTCGCCTCTCCAGCCCAGACCCGCGTCTCCTTAGCACTATCATGCGCAACCCGGAAAACTATCCACAAGCATCAGTAATTAGCAACACAGACACAACGGTGGAACATACGCTGTCTCTCCGTCTCATCCAACCCTCGCAAGAAATCCGCTCCCTGCCCTAAAGCACCCTGCGGATTATGCGCATGATCCGCAATGACCGCTGAACGCTTCTTAAACGTCTATCATCATCATCATCACAATTAGCCACATCAATCCCCCTTCCCCCGGGTTACAAAAGCACCATACATTACTCAAAACCTCCACCAATTCCTCCTCCTCAAACAGCTCCAGAATCCGCTCACTCAAACTATAGAAATGCGGTGCTAGGGACCGCAGATCCACTGTCCGAGGATCAGCCTTCAAGGCATTCATGACTCGTTCTGAAAGCGCGGAGGGGAGATCCAGCGTGACTAGTCGAGATGTTCCCAGGCGGGCACTGCGATAGTTAGACAATACTACCCTCTCTCTCTCCAAGATAGTAGTAGTAGTAGTAGTAGGTAGATTGAAACTCACCCGATAGAAAGCATCTCACCCAGCCATAACGGCAAATCAATGCGCGTTCCTGCTTTGATCTAGATAGAACACACACACCACATATTTAGCAAGACACACTTCCATGCACAAAAATAAATCAACAAGCACATAAGACAGGAAACATACATTTTCCCCCGCATTCCCCTCCAAAATACCAAGACCAGGTACATCCAATTCAAACGTGCAGGGTAGTTTCTGAATAGATCGGATGTGTGAGAATGAGCCCCATGCATTCATTTCCAATCATTGTTTATCACTCATCACCTACTTGGGAATCTGTCAAGATGGCATCAATGTCGTAGTACGACATTTTCAACGAGAGATTTATTCGTGTATAACTAGATTTACTGTTGATAATCTAGTTATTGATATCTTTCATCTAGGTGGAGGGGTTCAAACTCGTCCTTCTTTCCTTTCGAGGCGCGTCCCGCATGGCGCGCTGTCACGTGCGGGGAATCTTTACTTTGCGGTTAGCCAATGGGAGGGGAGATATTTACAGTCGGTGCTACAACACTAATAAGTAGTAATTTGTAAGATAGGGTTTAGGTGTCGACGACGATAATTACTGGTTGTATTTTGATGCTGTGCTTGTATAATATTAATGAGTATTTGCATTTATGTCAAGTTGGAACTGAAGGAGAAGATGGTTGTTATACACTCGATGACGTCACTCATATTTCTAGGAGGATGAAGGTATTTATCGAAGGTACTAGCAATGTTTGCAGCTAACTACTAAATGTTCACTAAATATGCTTTGTGTATAGCAACTAGATGGTCCTGATTGAACCTGTATTATGCTAGTGGTACCACGAATCTGGTACTTGTGGTCCGAAATCGTTGCGCAATTCCATCCCCAAGAAAGCGTCCTCCAGATTCCGAACCTCAGCCGGACGACCTTCATTGTCTTCGGTGCAGACGAGGAACAATTTAAGCCACTCAAAACCTGAAATGCCGGTATAATACTCTATACCTAGGGAGGCCCTCGTTACCCGCAAAGCTTGCCTCGCAGTGACTGTGATCCTTTTTCCCGGATCGAATAGCAGAGCCAGTCGAAGCGCATCTGTCCCATGGTGAATACCTCTTGCGGTATCAAGCTCTTCCCAAGATGAGGAGGGTAAAAAATCAGGGTGGGTGTCGTACATTTTAGACGTCATGAGATCTATCTTGTTAACGAACGGTAGATATGGCGGAAGAAGATCGTACAGACTCTGCATTCCTTTTAATTTTCTCTAATGGCATAGTTAGATTATGATCATGTCATAAACAATGACGCAGGTAGTAAGACTTATGAGATCGTATATATGCACTTACGTCCGACGGGATCACCTTGAAGTCGATCCTCAGTTTGCCTCTTGCTGTCCACATATAAAGCGTTTCACGGTGTTTGATGAAGTGCTGCGAGTCATGCCAGTGCAGTGCATTCATGAGGTCTTCCAGGGTCGAATCTCCTAAGTCCAGGACGACGTCAATATCTTCATTCCTAGCAGGAGCCTACTCATTTAGTTAGTCAATAGAATGCTTCCTTCGTAAGTGGTTTTGTAATTAAATCCACTTACAATGCTGGGCAAACGATCGGGACAATAACGCATGACAGCAAGCCCTCCTGTTATTCCCACGAATGTTGTACCCAAGTAACCTCGCTTTTTCAGTATCCGTATCCATCCGAGCAAACATGATGCAGCGCCGAAGAGCATTGTTCTGCTTGGATACAGTACATCCGGATACGCCCTATTGACTTCGTCGATAGTTAGATTATCGAGACGCATTTTGTTGATGAGTATTCGATCCTGTAGTTGTCTGACAGATCTATGTAGACAGGAAACAGATGGGACAAGAATTCTGGGCGTTACTTTATAGTCAACGGCGTGAAAAAAAAACGTTAGGGTGGTCAGTTGTGGCGTAGTAGAGCTATAGTTCGCTTGCTAGGCACCGGCTGCACCCTATTAGCACAAGTATTGCACTTGGTATCTTTGAGACATTCTGAAAGCTTGGACAAAGGAGTATTAACTTTGAGACAATGCAAAGTGTTCCCAAGAAATTACTGGGAAACTTCTTTGTAACGGGATATTAGCGGGTTCATTGTTTACCTCTGACCTTGTACACTCGTATAATGCAACTATGAACACATGGCTATCACCGATCGTATACTCTCGGATATGGATTTACACAGGTGAGGTTATATCGTTGACTGCAGGCTCCAGTCAAGCAGAACTTTGATCAACGGATATGTGACACATCTGATAATTATTAGCTCTACTAAAATCAAAAATTTTCAAATGACTTGTCCACATTATGCAATATACCGGGTAGGGTGTCTCAGACGAAGATGTATGCCCATACAGCCATACGGCCCGAACAACCCAATTCCCTTCACAATGGAACTCTATAACAGACGAACATCTCAAAGAAAAGAATATGGTCCATTTTATAATAAAAGAAACCCTCATGGTTATCATTCATCTTCATCTGCCATGAGAAGTAAAGATAGCTTCGTCTTCTCGATCATGTCATCCCGTAATCTAGATATATAATTCTTCACCTCACACGGACTCTTCTTCGTCTCCCCGTCGAAATAAAACTTCACAAAGCCACGCGCTACATCTCCCAACACATCCCAACTCGGAACGAGCTCATAGTCTCCGCTTTCATCGATATGATCCAGCAGGTCACTCAAGTATCCATACCAGATAGAAGACGTAGGGTCCTGAGGCCACTCTCTCACCATGAGAAGGACCACAGCGTCGATGAACCGGGCTGGCTTTGGGATCTTGATCGAACGAATAGACTGCCAACGACCATTTCCAGCTTCATCATTGTAGTCTGGTAGCCGAGGATCATCAACTAGCATATAGTTCGAATCATCCAATGGTGGTAGTCGCGTGGGAACCGGCGCCAGGTCAATAAACAGGTCGTTCATCTTATATAAGAGCACGACGTGATTGTACGGTCTGTTCACCCGCGGTTGGACATGGTAGTGATATGCCGGTGCAAAAGGCCTCTTGTTGGGCCGGTATCCCTCGCAGTAAGACCTATGGCAACTGTGGAAACCGGCGTCTTGGAGAAGGGAGTCTGCTTCTGCGATGTAGAAGTTAGGGATGATCCAGGTGGAACTCTGGAAGTAGTTAGTCTTGACTTTACTGTATTTGGGCTGGAATGAAAAATCGTCATCTTACCTTTTGCTCCTGCACAAGACCATAGACGCACAATAGCCCGTGACCGCAGAACACGTTGGGCACTCCACCATTATCTAGCGCCTTCGCAATAATGTTCTCTAGTTTATAGTCGATATGAGTGGGAGCTTTCGCTCCAGACTCTTCGGACTGAGAACTCCCCATATCGTAGGACTTTTGTGTCGACATGTAGTATAGACTTGGTTGGAAACCGACTTCTGAGACTAAGTGGGGCGTTCTCTTTATATTAGAGTGCTCTAGACGCGACTCATAGTTATAGATGGGATTTCCCTAATTCAATCTTTTTATTCTCCTGGTAGAGTCTTAGCACTCTTTGAACATGAACATCAGGTGGCATCAGCTCGATGTACTGCGCCTTGGGATAAGCAAATCTGTCGGTTTTAAGTGTTTGCCACCTCCATTAAATGCCAGAGCAGCGGATATAAGGACGCCCTGACCGCATTACTTCAGGGAAGTGGAAAGTTACACAGCATCTTACCGCCTGAACTTAAATTATTGAATCAACTCTTTGTTCAATTCTTGCTTCAGTTACCGTTCTTATGCGTGTCTCAAGGAAAGGTCCATCGACGTCTAATATACTAATGCCCTTGTTGTCCGAGATATGCCTTTGGTACATTGTTCAGGAATATCCCGCCTCTCGTGAAATAATGATTTTCGCTTGGATGACCGGTATTTTCCTTTCAAAATTGGTCGACCATGGCCATAGATAGTTTCTGGTGACAAGGGTAAGAGTAGAAGCTGAAGTACAGGTTGGCTGCACTCTCCCAATCTAACGAAAAAGTCCGAACATATTTCTTTATATGTGTAGCCACCATGCAGTACTTTCAATTGGAGTCGCTACTGAACTTGTCTAGTCCCTAAGATGACATAGTAAAACTTCTTGTCGAAGAAACCAGAAATGATAGTATCTCCACGTACCCTTAGCATCCGTACTATGTATGCTATGCTCTCGGAAATCACTAGATCTAACAAAGAAATCGTCGGCTAAAACTATCTAGCCTGGCATACTCCTCACTTACATTGTGTCTATGTACTTCAAGGTTGGCTTGTTAGGGCTGCCATCCTGACTAAGCAAGCAAGTCACATGTCGCAGTATATATATCACGTGCCTCCATCTTGACTGATTGCGGAACTTCGTACTTTTCACAAACTCGCATCTTAACCCATCCACTCAAACCTCTCGCGTCTTTGAAGGCCCTGTCCTTCCGATTCTCCCGTGGGATTTCAATCTCCCGATGGGTGGATCCCTAGACGCCGCCCAGGACAGTGGACGCTGTCGAGATCCATGACGATGACACCTCCGAGCGGGTCGGCGGCATACAAGAAGAAAGATGGCACCCTGACCATAGCCCAGGACCGCCAGTCGATCTCTTGGATCCCGGCGGCTGGCGGTGCAGCTGGTGCAATTACTCTTCCTGTTGCTCAGATTACCAGTACGTCGTGGTGTTTAGCTTGATTCGCCGGGCGCGATTATACTGACTACGGCATAGACCTGCAACAGACCCCCGCGAGTAACCCGAAAGTGATGCTGAAGATCTTTGTCCTCCCTCCGAACGCCCTCGCTAGCTCCCCCGAACAATTTGTCTTTTCCTTCACAGCTGGAGCGAACGCGCGACCGGAAGCTGATGCCATCAGAGATGCGCTCAGTGCCGCTATCCAAGCTGCAAAGACAGCTCAGAGTGCACCCGTTAAAGAAGGCGTGTCTCCTGCTATGGCCATAGCGAATGCGGTATCATCGGCAGGGAAAGAGAAGAGCCCGTGGGATGATGACAAACGGCTTCAAGGAGATGTGGAGCTGCAGCAGTCGCTGCTGAAGTCGAATTCGACTCTGCAGCGCATGTTCATGGAGTCATTACACACCAAGCCGGATACGCTGTCTGCTTCACAATTCATGACGCAGTTCTGGTCTACTCGACTTCATCTTTTGCGCGCGCATGCGATCGAACGGTCGCAGACACGCGGATCGTACAATGTGCTGTCGACATTGAAGCCGCGGGTGGAGGATAGCGTGACAAAGCTGAATATTAGCAAGGAGCAGATTCAGTTGATTTTCAATCAGCACCCGCTTGTGAAGCGGGTATACGACGAGAATGTACCCAAGCTTAGCGAGCAGCAATTCTGGTCTCGGTTTTTCCAGAGTCGGCTGTTCAAGAAACTGCGCGGTGAGCGCATCTCTGAAACGGATCCCACGGACATAATCCTGGATAAATACCTCAAGGCGGACGAGTCGGGGAATTTACCACGCGATGCGCATGTTCCGCATTTCCTAGATTTGGCTGGAAATGAAGTGAACAACAGTCAACGGCAAGGCAACCGACCCGATCTCGACATGCGCCCGTCCTCCGTGGAAAAGGTGCCCATTATCCGCACACTGAACAGTCTGAGTGAGAAGATTATGGCGAACGTTGCACCAGCCGATGGCGAGGCGGATGGCAAGACGGGTGAGGATGGGACATACAACGAGCTGCAGCTGCGCGATTTACGCGGGGACGAGGAACAGCAACGTATTCTCCTCAACGTCAAGGACCAGAGTCGCTTTTTCTCGTCGCATTCGAAATCTGCGGAGGATGAGCAAAACAAGCTATTTGCCCAGCAGGATCCGAATCAGATACTCGGAAAGCTACGGGGAGATCTAGAAGAAAATCTGCCAGAGGGCGGAGCCGCGCCGCTGGGGAGACTGGTAGAACCGCAGGAGGATGACGACGAGGATCAACAAAAGTTCGAAGACGTGATTGGTTCTAGGGTGAATTTGAAGCGCGCCTCAAACCAAATTCTCGAAGCGATCCGTGACCGCCGATCCCAAACAGAGGGATCAGGCAATGCCGGCACGTACGGTTTGTCGACTGCGTTGTACGACCGGTTGACACTGACGCATGCCACGACGACTGAATTCTTGCATCAATTCTGGCAGGCATTCCTATCCGGGAATCCGGATCGCGCGGGTGAGGTAGCTTCGCTCGTGGAGTCCCTAAACAGAGCCATGGAGCGCATCAAATCGGTGGCGCAAGACGCAGAGGCAGAGCGGCAAGTTGAGGTTGATCGACTGAAGCAGCATGCCCGGGAAGTGCTGGAAAGGACAGGAAGGAAGCTCAAGCTCAATCTCGCTGGTGTGGCTGGAGGTGAACAGGCTGTCAATCGACTACTGGGGCCGACCATTCGGGCGTTGGAAACGGCGCTGGCAAAGTACAACCAGGCGTTGGCTGAAGAAATGAAGGAAATGCCATCTGCGTGATATGGCGATAATGTATGATAGAATAGACATAAATGACTATTAACGATTCATTGTAAAGCCAAGTAGGACTCTTAAGTACTTCGATCGGCATGCCGAGCCCTCCGCTCTCCGCCCCTCCGCCTCGGCCCGCCCTTCACGCGACGTGTCCCTCACTTCCTCCACCTTCCTTCCAGCTTGTCAGACCAGCATCGCGACCACCAGGACGCTCCACTAATAAGACATCGCCTTCATGCTCTAGTTATTGTTTAATATTCAGGAGAAATTACCTCCAGTTCCATATTCTAAATAAATCTAATAAATTCACAATAACATCTCGAAGATGTTAACCTCCGGACTCACCAACGCCTCGATCTCCAAATCCCTCCTCATCTACACCATCGCCTCCTCAGTGGCTCTCGCCATCTTCGACCTTAAGCACCTCACTAGTATTCAAGTCGCGCCACACATCTGGCAATATGGACAGTTCTGGCGCATTCTGGTGTGGCAGGTAGCCGGATTCGCGAACTCGACGGAGGCGCTGTTCGCCGCGATGCTAGTGTATCATCTACGAGTTGTCGAGCGCGCTTGGGGAAAAAGAAAGTTTGCCGTACGTCACTCTATTCTACCTTACTTTTCTTATACCATTCTACATCTGCAAGCTATAATATCGATGCAGTACTAACAAACAATAACGGCTTATAGACCTTCCTCCTCACCACACTCCCCTACACAACCCTCCTCCCACCTCTCCTCCTCATCCTCGTCCTCCGACCCATCACCCTCGGGAAAATGAACTACCTTCCCTCCGGACCCGTAGCGACCATCTTCGCCTTATTAGCGCAATACCACGCCTCAATCCCATCTACCTTCCGCTACCGGATCTCCACGTCATCTGCTTTTGATTCGAACGAGACGAAAGACCAACCGCAACAGAGCAGCAAGTCTCTTACTCTTACACTGTCTGATAAATCTACAACGTATATTGTCGCTGCGCAACTGGCTTTGTCGCAGTTCCCGGCGATGGTCGTCCCCGCTGCGGTGGGATGGCTGGTTGGTGTGGCCTGGCGGATGGAGTTTCTGCCTGGGACTGGCGCGTGGAGGGTCCCGGCATGGATGGTGGGGGAGAAAGAGCGAAGGGTTGTAAATGGAGCTGGAGGCGCAGATGGTGGGAGATATGAGGATCTGAGAAGGAGGTTGGAGGGAGAGGCTATTGCGGCGTCGGCGAGTTCGTCGGCTACGGGTGCGACGGGGGATGCTGCTGGACAGAGGTTGAGGAGGAGTGGGGGGATATAGATTGGAGGGTTGTTCCATGTAGTTAATTACGATATAGGAGTGCTGGCAAATTCATTTGGAAGCTGATTGGTAGTGGATGGTCACGGCATGGGTGCCGTATTCGAACGCTATCGATGATGGGGACGGATGTAGATACGGAAGACTACTTTGTAATATTCTGGGGCCCTATTTCGTCGACCAGTGCAATGATTCCGAATGCGGACCAAGATTTATCATACCAAGCATTCTCTCCATTAAAGGGGGCTAAAATCTCCTATGAATGGCTGCCTAGCCCGCAATCGTGATACTAAAATCAAGGGGCCAAGAAGAGCGACTCCGCCGGCCTCCGTCAAACAAAGACTCAGCCTCTTCAGGGATATTTGACTCCATCGCCAATGAGATCCTCCAATTAGCTTACCCCCTTGTTAAGCGCCTCGTGTTGAACTAACATTCTTCTTCTCTCTCTTTTCTGCAGCTGCCACTGGCAGTCTCCTATCCATTGCAATGCATCCAAACCACTCAGTTGCAGGCACAATCCCCCAGCCTGTACAACCCACATCCCCTTACACATGACATGCATGTCAATTCACCCCTCCAATGACTGCTAAATCCAGCTATGCCACTTTCATCCCCCGGCGTGGGGTATCCCGCCGAATAGGGCTGCGCCGGCGTCTCCTCCGCGGCCTGCTAATCTGTGTCCTCGTCTGGACCATCCTAGATGTACTTTACATCCATCACCTCGTTTCGTCCTCCTCCTACCGAACCAATGACATTACTCGACCATCACCCATCCCAGAACGAATATTCATCGCTAGCACGCACTGGAACAACGAAGCCATCCTCCGAAGCCATTGGAACGATGCCATCATAGAACTAGCGAAAGCCTTCGGTCCAGATAACATCTTCGTGAGCATCTTCGAGAGCGGAAGCTGGGATGATACCAAGGGGGCTCTGCGAGATCTCGACGCGGATCTGGACCGACTTGGTGTGCAGCGCAATATCACATTATCGGATACGACGCATGAGGATGAGATCTCCGCATCGCCGGGTGAGGGCTGGATCGACACGGCCCGGCATAAGAAGGAGCTAAGACGCATATCTTATCTGGCCCGGTTGCGAAATTGGTCCTTGCGGCCGTTGGAGGATCTGGCGCGACGGGGTGTTATATTTGATAAAGTGTTGTTTCTGAATGATGTGGTCTTTACGGTATGTTCATTTTTCTGTGTCGGTGCAGAAACATTAAGTTTATTGACGGCTCCATCTAGGTTGACGATGTGATTTCACTATTGGAGACAAATGATGGATCATATGCTGCTGCTTGCTCGCTAGACTTTTCCAAGCCACCGATTTATTATGATACGTTCGCCCTTCGTGATGCAAACGGCGACGAACATGTTATGCAGACATGGCCTTATTTCCGTTCTGAAGTGTCGCGCAATGCGCTATACTCCATGTCTCCTGTGCCGGTCAAGAGTTGCTGGAACGGAATGGGTCAGTGACTTCCCCTCACATTGCTTCCTACTACTATATTGACTAACAGACCATCACAGTCGCTATGCCCGTGGAGCCCTTCTTATCCACTCCTCCGCTGCGTTTTCGTGCCATTTCCGACTCCCTTGCGAAATCACACCTCGAAGGCTCAGAATGCTGTTTGATTCACGCGGATAATCCTCTTTCCCAAGAGCTGGGGGTTTACCTGAACCCTAAGGTCCGCGTTGGCTACAACCCTGTAGCTTACGAAGCTGTTCATCCTACAGGGGCATGGTTATCGCTACAGCATGTAGCATTGGCTCTATGGGAGAATAGAATCCGACGCTGGGTTACGACCCCGTTGTTCAAGAAGATGGTCGTCCGCAGGAGACTCAGTCCCTGGCAGGATGCTCATCCAGACGAGAAAGAGCCAGGTTACTTCTGCTTGATTAATGAGATGCAGGTGCTTGCCTATAATGGATGGGCACATGTATGATTGGGGACCTTGATGCAGTTTTTTACCCAGAGCTCAAACTACGACTACTCACCACCCATTATAGCGTTTACAGCGTCTCGCTATTCCAGGTCTATGCTCGGGGAGTCTAATACGGTTAGCCTGCGAATCGCATGCCCAAGTGGGCTGAATGCGCGAGGTGCATTTCCCATCCAAGGGATAAGAAGCTGCTCGTGAATGCCGCTTCGTGTCCCCAATGATGGCGAGGCGACTCCTCTCCTCATAATGGGAAGGTCTCATCTAGACAAATATCTGTCTTCCGGGCCTCTTGTGCTAACGCCGGTTGTGTTCTCTTACAGCGACATCCCCTAAGATTCCGCTTAGAAAAAGAGGCTAATTAGATACGGGATTCATGCCACCTAGATAGCATGAATATATGCATTAAGGGCGCTGCGTTATTGGTCTGGCACAGTGATCCGATGCTATGTATCTACGGAAGCATAATTCCTTCAATATTCTCGAGTCATGTGTATTAACTGTTACTCTTCATGATCGAATACGGGCGGAATTAAATGTGTTCTTTGCATTTCCACTGCACTCAGGGAAGATTGGCGAAGTAGACTCTGCACTCACCAGGTTTAACCTCTGTTTAGGAAGACAGTCAAATAAGTGTATATGTAATTGTGACATCTTAATATTATACTGAAGATATATATTCAGGTTCGATTCGTAAGTCATCATTGGTATTGGGGTTATGTCTTTGCACCGTCCTCAGCAAAAAAATGGTATATTCACCGTCCAAGTCCCAACATAAGCATCTGGTGGGAGATAAGCCAGCATTCTAAACATCTCAACCAGAAGATACATCCCAGCCAATATGTAGAGAGTGATCCCCGGGGCCAAAACGAGGAAGAATAATATGCTATCCCTTGGTACCAAAGAAAGAATAGATTTGAACATGGGAAATTGATAGTCATGAAGGCGAAAGCGAACTCTTACAAATCTTAACTGAATTAATTTATTAGATTATATTTAATCTGTTCAATAGAAACATCAGTATATATTATCAGGTCTAGCTAAAATATAGTATGTTACTTAATTTTCTGTTTTACCAAGCTCAATGATGACCATGTTATCAAAACTAGATATAAGATTAAAGAAAGGAACATTAGCTTGTAATGGGAGACAAACTTAATACTTACTAATAGTGCCCGTAGGGCAAAGAGTGTAGAGAAAAAGATGTATACCAGCATTCTACTGCGATGCTGTGGTTTCTGCAATACCGAAATTAGGAGAACCAGACAACTAGGATTGAAACTGCCTTGTCCGCCCACCTTTTATATTCAGTAACATAGAGGCCATATTTCCCTAGTGCCATAATTGAGCTGCTTAGTCCCAGGCACCAGAAGTAGTTAACAAACGCGCCTGTCCTTGATTTGCGATGGTGTGTCAAAAACTGTAGATCGCACTTTCAGTGGTGAAGTCACATCAGCAGGAAATAGTCATTGTTTCTTATGGCTGTATATTGTTTAATCAGAGAAACAAGTTATACAATTTTTCTTAGACAGAAAGCCACAAGAAATATATGCCTGTGGTAGGGCAAGATCGACATATATATATGCTGTTTTAATCATGATTTTAGAACTACCAAACAGCTTTCAGTCAAGGATAAAATCTGTTGTGTGTATGTGTGTGTGTGTGTGTGTTTCACATTAACCTTCACCCCTTCAGAAGGATATGTGGGCTAGAAACTACAGTGATATCTCGAGACTGGGGTTGACCCACCAATATATGGTAACTTCATAGCCACATTCGTGTCGAGCCGCTTTCGTCGAGCCTCTCTTGCATTACTTTGCCGGCCGCTACCTATACCCATATTTCTGGGTTACCTGATAAACTTTCCGAGGAAAAAGGCCCGCTTGCAACGAACCTAGACAAATCGAGACCCCATAGGCCTATGTCAGCATTACATGCTTTGAACCCGGACAAAAGCATGAATATAGTAAGGCCCCTTCATTCCAACAACCCAACCCGTCAAATACTGATGCGCTCTTGGAGTCAAGCGAATGCTGTTCAGGCTTCGTCCCTGGATAGTACTGTCATTGCTCTACTATATCCAAGATGGATCTAAGTGATGCTCTTGCATTGGCCTCATTAATTCTTACCGCAATCAGTACAATATCCATTTTCACAATTCTATTGCAAATATGGAGCAATTTCAAAAGACTTCTGTTCGATCGGGAGCATGCTATCAAAGTCCAATGCGGTTCATGGCAGAGTTGCATCAAGAATCACCGGCTACCAGAGCATGGGTTGGTTGAAAAGGCAGCCAATCCTCTAAAAGGATGGATTCTGAATGCATACAGAGAAGGCATTACTCTCAAGATGACCACCAGTGACCGAAAGACACAGAGGACAAGCTGTCAGAGATTCTGTTCTTTCCTGATGCCCACCTATGACCAAACAGCACAGGGAACAAGCAGCTGGAGCAGATTGCTTGCAAGGTGCGGAGTAGAATCATGCAAGATTCCACCATCCGACCGAGCAGAAGATAGGGCGGATATTCTAATGGAGAATGAAAAAATTCTCTATGGAGTTTCAGCGGAAGAATTTGTTGTGCTGTTGATACTGGGATCGTGGGATATCACTTTCGCACTGAAAAGACCTGGCCTTTTCTATCAGTCACCTTGGCTATATGCGGATATGTGATGACGGTCCTTTTCGTCAGATTGCGCGCTATGACGACCATGGAAATGCCCCAAACTCACAATCAACAGCAAAACGTTACGAATATTCTATACCAGTCAAAACAGCTATTGACTTGGCAATCGGTATTTTCCGCATCCCTTCCAGGGACCCCCACAACATTGATATGGTAATTCTTTCAGACAGGCGCTGGTTAGACAGGCGCTGGTTGAACTGGTGCAAGAATTGCAAGCGGAAAAGCAGAATAGGCCCGCTCAAAAGAATAGGTTCTGTGGATCAAATGAGTTACTGGACGTCGAATCCCGGGACGAAACAGGCGGAGGAAATCCGCTTTTCCCTAGAGAAACTTGTTCAAGAGCCGAGCGCAAAGATCAACAACTACGAGACCGACAAAAACAGTACGAACAAAATGGAGATGTTTTGGTTTGTTACAACCCTTCTAGGTCAAAACAATGCAAACTCCGACGTGCAAAAAGCAGCTACAAGAGTGGCATTAGTCATTAGCAGCCTTGAGCCGTGGGCAATCTTGCCGGCTGCACCGATACACATTACTCATGCTCTATGTGGCGTACTCAAAATGCAAGTTCGGGATGACAGCGGGCAGGCAGCCCTTATAACTTTGTTGAAAGATCTGAGAAAAATGAAAAAAGCTAAACAGTACGTTCCACCTGGCTGGACGCTAGTGGATTTGGAATGTGCACTGGAGGACATCCCATCTATCAAGGACCACTTTTTCTCCCGATCAAGTGATAAATGCAGTATTTACAAACCGCAATGAAAGCAGTCTTCCATAAGGCGAATCTATCTCAGCACAGGACTTCTTACCATCTGAGTTGCCGAGGAGCCACAATTGATAACGAAAAGTTGATCCGTTTCACGCTTGCAGCAGTACTAGCATCCAAAGTCTTATCAAAGGCGATGAACGGAGACTAACTATGTTGATAAAATATTCAAAAAGCTATGTGATATTCATGAATTGAGAGAGGCACAACCATTACGTTCAGATGACGATTTAGTCAAAATCTATGCAACTTATACGGATGGTTTGGAAACGCAACCAAAGCTGGACGCAAGTGGCGCGACGCATATCGACGAAGAATATTTCTTGAGTAAGGTGTGTATATTACTATTGTGCGATAATTAACCTGACTAGCGCCTCACTATATGCAGCTTGACTTGGGCGCTCGACTTAGGGCTCTGGAAAGGAGTGAAAGAGTCCAACATTTGCACCTGCACCAGTTTTCCAATTGGCGCTATACGACAGGCTATGCGAAGACCAGGGTTTCAGTTTAATACAGCCAGTGAGCATGCAATGGCAAAGATTCCTATTTCTATCTCGGTCTCTTCTCACCATATCGGGACAGTATCCTCAACGGGCCGAGCAGTTTTGCTGCTATGCAATAGTCAGGGAGGGCTGTCTATTTTTCCTCGGGGAAGGAAGCAAATTTCCGTATTATTTGCTTCCTTGTCTATCTATCATCTCTTATCCCTCCCTTATCCAACAATTGTACTGCTACGGATTCTATAAACCCTGGGGAGTATATTACCATGAGCACTTTATATGAGGACAGCCTTGCCCCATATACCCCGGCCGGGCTAGGAGTCATGATTATCTACACTCGCCCAACAGCGCATGTCGGCCATGCGTCAAATATATTAGATGTCATCATTAGCGAGAGAAGGCTAATGACCAATTTTTTCTGAAATGATCTTAACTTTGCTATAGCTTTGATTCTGACTGTGTATTTCATAAAGAAGAAAGGACTGAAATCCTAATGATGTCCCGTGATAATGAGAAGCATCCTAGTATAATAATAAAGTAAATCAACTCGCCTCATTAGTTCAAGATATTAGGATATCTATAAGACTTCATTAGCCTTGAGATACCTTCAAAGTTTGATATTATATTCTTCCTCTATACTTACATTCTCAATGAATAGATATATTGAAAGGATTAATACAGGAACATACACTGGCTGTTTTCCAAAGACTTGTAGTACCTGGGCATGAAGCTATTCTTTCTACTTCAAGAGTTATAGAGGACGAGACTATCTAGGCTCACAGTTTGATGTTAAAATAAGGAAGTTATTATTATCATGACAAGGATCTACTTGTAAGGATAGAAAGCCTGTTAACTAGATAAGGAATCGATCACCAAATGCTATATATTCATATAATGAAGACAATGGTAGCCTATATCCACAGAATAGACTAATCCCTGAGGGTTCAGTAGCTCAATCCTGAAGACTCAGTATCTTATAAGCATCGGGGTGGTGTAGAACCGCTATTGATGACCTTACAACTCCCATAACCACTATAATACATCATCCCGATGGTCCCAAGATAGCTAGGCTTTTCTATTACAGAGAATCTATATCTATAGAATAGACTAATTCTTAAGAGATTAGTAGCTTAATATTAAGAATTAATATTCCATAAATATTAATCAAAAATGAATACCGTGGATCTGAATAATCTAAATAATTCCAGGTCTTATCTTATACAACAAGAACATTGCTCGCTTGTTACTTTGGTTACCATGTTATACAATTATACTTTTCTATTCTGTATATTTAAACTACCACATATAGTATCTAACAGAGGAACCTTTCTCTCCTACAATAATCAACATAATTATCATACATTGAGCTTCACGTAGCTGCTACACCAACACAAACGAGTATATGAGAACTCCTAGACAGCCGAAGCCAGTAAGTGCCATACAAATTGAAAAGCGAATAGGTCAAAAGGGAGAAAGAGAAAAGGAAAATGGAGATCCAAGAGACCAGTCCGTGGAATTGCCAAAAAGGTTATATAGAAAAAAAGATCTGTCCCGAGGGAGGTTCGAACTCCCGGCCTTGGGATCGCATGGAAGTTGAAGCTTCCACGTCATACTGTAGTATGAGACCCACGTGATAACCAACTACACCATCGAGACGACTTGTTGAGAGACGCCTCTAGGGTTTGGTAGATGAAGAGTTGCGTTGTTTTCTGTACGGTAAGTAGGTTGCGGATAGTAGGAAAATACTATGCGCGCACCACTTGACAATAAACAACTACAGGGTACTTACATAACATAATCTTGTTTGTGTTAATTATTCTAGAATAATAATTAAGTTCATAAGTGGTAGTACATATACTAATCATCTTGTCCAAGTCCTATTGATGCTAAGGCATTGATCCAAGCCCAGGCGTAGGCTGTCAAGATGTAGTAGCCATGAATATATCTAATCAGTGATTGAGGTCATACTAGTCTACAACTTAGTATCAAGACATCGATCCTCTACAGGACCGGCTAGATACACATATCGAGGAGAAGAGGCAGTATGCTCAAGGCACAGACAAAGATAAGCCATAGAGTTTCAACGCATGTATCCTAATATCATGATCGTTCTAGTTCAGAACTGACTACTACTACCCAGCGTCACAATATACATAACCATCCAGTGAGGGAAGATACGGCCCTAATCAATGCATCGAAATAACAGGCCCAAGGGCAACTACCTGCCAAATATATACCCGCACCAACAACTGATACCAATGATGAGAATAGCTTCGCCAGCCTATTCAAATAACGGATCACACATCCATTTGGAAGGCCTCGAGGCCTTCTTGCAGGGTGTTATTCCCCGAGCCGAAGCCACCAGCAATGGAATCGCACAGGCGAACATCGATATTTCCACTTCGGGAGTATATGCAGACATTCAAGATGGCCAGATCTTCCATTTCACCAGTCTACCAAGACAGGTGCGACTTATCTATGAGATCGACGAGTCAGGTGATATAGGTGATACGCTGGTGCACGCGATATCTCCGACAACCGAACACGCCGAGCCGACTTTGTTTACTCAATGGACGATTCAATTGCTGAATCCTGATGACTTGGCTTTTACCAAGCTGTCTAGGTTGCAGCTTCACTGGAAGGGTAGTGCGAGATTTGTTGGGAAATTGTCTGCTCCAAGCGGTGGTAGTACATGATGTGAGATGAAACTGTGTAAGACATCGCAAGATTGAAGAGCGCCGACAACAACAACTTCAATTCTCTAGTAATACACATAATAGTTGTCATGAATAAGACAGGGCAGTCACAATGGCTACAACCCAAGCAGCTTCAAGTAACTCATACACTCAAGACATTTTATATCGATCTCCATCAGCAATTATCCATTCTATAGTACACTATAGTGACAGGCCCCAGATTCTGCCGCTTCAAACAAGGCGGTCAAGAAGTATACAGAATGCTGACTGACTTTTTCGGGGCTGTATAAAAATATATCCGTCTATATCCGCACTTTTCTCTGCGAGGTTCGCTAGGTTCTGCCGCTTTTGGCGGTCAATAGAGCGGTCAATTTAGGCAGTATGGCTACACCCGGGGCATAAAGGCAATTATTTCCTTATGTTACTGGTTATTACTATACTCTCTCCGCTCAGGATGATATTTATGTATCTATCTGACTTCGGACACAGTCATGGGCGGAGTTGTACTAATGGGCTGGTATACTGGTAGTCGTTACGAGGTCACTACCACTTAGATACGAAGTAGTATGAAAGACTAGGTGGGAGCTAATGTGAGACTATCAACTACTTTCAGTTGTTATTTCCGTCACCTTACTCTGTACTATTCATCTGGTTGTATTCAGCTCTGGAGTTATTGACTCAGTTACTCTTGATTTCATTGATGGGATAGTTAATTGCCGTGGAGATTGGCTCCGTGATGTCTAGAATTTGGCTTCAGAGAAGGGTATCATTTGGTCCTGAAGAAGGTGAGAAACGTCATGAAATACTGATATGGACATCGTCGGCTAATGTCAAATTAGTATACACTGATGAATTAGGCCGGATCTTTTGTGCTGTCATCAAGTTACACGTGCGTTTGGCTCTTATTATATTGCCTTGATCTATATGTAGTATCCACTAAGAATGTAGGAAATAATCCGGGCTATCACATCCTTTGTTGAAGTGTATTGCAGAGATCTTCAATAAAACATCGACATGTAGAAAATTCGCATCATAAGATATTCCACCGGATACTCATCAAAGATATCCAGGACTAACTCAAGCCACTCCGCTTTCGCCTGGCAGTAGACCGTCGAATTACAATAGTCCCAGTATTCAGGGTACCAGCCAGCCAAGTCCCAATCAATAATCGTTATCCGATAATCCGGACTTCCATCCTCACACACCCCTTTCTGTTCCTCAACCATGACATTCTTCGGCTGGAGATCCGCATGGGTGAAGACAATCCTATGTCCTTTGAGTGTACGTTGTATCGCTTGATGAAGCAAGCGGACATAATGCCGCGACTCCCTCTGCCCCAGGCATTTCAAGATACCCTGGTTGAACCCTTGCTCATTGTCAAAGGGACCAGATATACTCGGGTCACGATCAAGCGTAGATAGAATGCCCTCGTAGTAAGGTGTGCGGTTCAAGTTCCCAAGGTACCCCTGAGAAGGAATACGTCGCAGTTCATCAAGTGCCTCCTTGATACGCTTGCTGATCTTCAACTTCTGGTCTTTAGACAGAGATGGCGCTAATTTCTCCAAATCGGTACCGGGGATATATTCCATGATGATGTACCGTTTTTGGGTCTCTGGATCCAGAAAATCATCGTAGACTTTTGGCACGCGGACTTTGCTGTTAGCAGCAACGAATCTTATGTTTTCTGCTTCTAGTGGTGCGATGGAGAAGCCGGATTTGACTGCGAAGCGCTCTTTTACTCGGACCACTTTTATGGATCTGCAGGGGTCGCTGAGGATATCGGTTGATGCTTCGATCTCGGCAATGCGAGGGAGCTTTATTTTCTTGTTGGACATTTTGTTGAGATGATGGGGATGTTATCGATTGGGGGTTGAGAATCAGAGGAAGGACCATGATGGAGTGGAAATGGCGCCGGGTATTAATGAGCTGATATAGGCTGGCGGGGTAGAAGATCATGATCCTGTCTCCAGATTTTAACTCAGCTGGTGCGGCGCATACTAGTATACTATCCATGATCCATCTCTCTGACTGGCCGAGAAGCCTTCATGCCCTTCACTGGTATTTATATAGATAGAAGTATCTTTACTCGCCATTACTTATAACCATACTTGACAAAAGTCAGACAATCAGTTTATTGTCTACTACGTATGTACATTCATGAGAGCCAAAAGCCATTCCCAACCCATAACTCCGGTATCCTGTTTTGCTTTGCTTCATCCTGCTCTGCTTGTTCAACGCCCACTTCGACTCCGTCGCATACTCTCCTTACACTCATTACAGTACCATTTGACTAATTTCACGTTAGCAATCCGCACCCTCCATATTCATAGAATAAAGGAATAGTCTTACCATTCTTCCCAGGCGGCTTCGTCAACCCAACACACGACAAGTGGAACCACTCGCGAGGGCAGGCGTCATTATCACATGCCACCATCTCACCGAAACTGATCTCATTGCAGTAGCAGTATCTGGGTTCACCGTCTTCGTCTTCATCATCGCCCTCATGGAGAGACTCTTCCTCTTCTGATACAGCCCGCGCTTGCACCACTGGTACGCTGCTGTTCTTCTTGTGGGACCGTTTGGCTGGTGCGGGATCCGTGCTTCGGGTAGGTCGTACGCGCTGAGTGGGTTCGGAGAAGGTGGGTAGCACCGGGGTGGATGTTTTAGATGATCGGCCCTTGGGAGGTGGATTCGAGACTGGCGGTGCGGGGACTTCGCCCGGTTCGATGGACGGCGCGGGCTTTCCATCGGTGTCTTCGCGTTTAGTGCTGATAGGAGGTGGGAGCTTAGATGCGTCTGTGGTGGGCTCTTCGGTTTCTCGTTGTGTATCTGGATTAGAAGTAGGAGTGGCTTCGGTTTTGGATGTCGTCTCTTTGATTGTGGTTTTAGGTTCTGCAGCTTTGCCTAAGGTAGTTATTTAGTTAGATTTGCGACCAGACTGAGATTGAATATGGCTGAAACGCACCATTGCTGGTAACACGATTGGACGCAGAAGACGACGGCCTCTGACGACCATTGTTTGCTTGTCCGGAAGTCTGCTGCGCGCGAGAAGTCTGCGGCCGCACTGCACCAGGTCCAGGACTGACAGCGCTTCGTGGGATAGCCGCAGCAGCGACAACAGGGGATGGAGCCAGAACCGGGGAATCGACTGCAGATGCATTGGTATTGTTTCTGCCACTCATGTTAGTTCATGTATACTCAAAGCAAGCAAAACCAACATACCTCTTCCGAGCAGCCGCATTCGTATTAGGTGCCCGCCTCTTCTTCGTAGCTTCAGCGGGATCCTTCGAAGCAGCCTGCCTCGAAGTACTAGCGCTGCTAGCAGTACGCTCCATTGCAGCACCAGCCTCCACAGGTGCGGGCCGCTCGACCTTGCGCCGCTTGGCCTGGCCCGACCCAGTATTTCCCTGACCATGTCCGGCCTGATCACCAGTGCCTGCACCCCCGCGAGATTTACTAGATTGTCCCTTGCGAGCCCCGCCTGCACGTACATCATCCAGATCAGAATCCGCATGTGTGCGACGCTGCCTGCGCGCGATGACAGCTTCTCGCCTAGCCTCGCTCCGCGAAGCAGCCTCCGCCTCATGGATCGCATGCGCCAATTCCTTAGTCGACGCAGCCTCCCGACGAGGACGCTCATTAGTAGTTGTCTTAGGGGCATTTCTATTCGTGTAAGCCCAGTGCGTCAGACTTCCCAGACGAGCTTCATCGCTGATCTCCCCCGCGATGAACGGGAAGATAGAATCAAGACGTGTGAGCTGTCGGTCCAGTTCGTCGTTCGCATTCGAAATAACGTGGTTTTTCTCATCCGCGGTCATCATCAGATCCGTAAGCGTATGGCGCACACGATGGAACAGGATCCGGCGGTCTTTGCTTTCCTGAGATTCGGGGATCTAGTCACGATAACTCGTCAGCACATGCTCATATCCGCCCAAATCCATCGTAAATAGCTTATCCCCGCAGACCATTATATGACCCACACCATGGATAAGAGATCTCCCCGAACAGGGCGCCCAGCAAAACTACCTACCGGAGTAGAGGGGTACGGCACAGGCTGCGACTCCGAAGCGGACCTCAACAATTGGAGCAAATTATCCTCGAGGGCCCAAGCCTTCGCATCGACCTCCTTGAGCAGCGAATTATGACGACGAAATTCCCTGGGGAGGGCTGTAATGGCGTCCGTGAAATGAGTGAGAGCAGGATAGAAGCCATGGGCGACAGGGGTCGCGGACTGGATATCTGCCATGGAGCCATGACCATAAGCGAAGGACGAGCGGCCCAATGTCTTGGATGTGCGAGATGGGTTCGTTCTCGTCTGGCGCGTTGACTGACGAGCGCTCTGACCCTGAGAGTTGACGGCAACGGCAGACATGATGGGTAAAGAAGGAAAAGGCACACAAGTCGGACAGCAAGTCCGACTCAATCAGGGAACAAGAAGCACTCAAAGATACTGGGAGATCGATGGCTCAACAGATGGAAGAACATGGACAGACAGACAAAACAGGGAAAAATCGGGGGTGGGAAACGAGAGTTGGAGCGATGGGAGACTTGCAGTGCGGAGAAAGACCCGGCAGAGCCCATCATTTATCAGGTGATTGGTGCCTGCAGAGCCAGGCACTGAATCTCGGCTGACAAAGACATGCTGATAAGCTTTCGGTGACGTCACATATCAATTAAACGAATCTCAACTTTCAACTCGAGCTATCAACTGGTGTATATCGGGAGATCCACAACCCACAACAAAAATGAATTGAGAAAAAAGGATGGGGCAAGCCGGGCTTGAACCGGCCACCTCCAGATCTTCAGTCTGACGCGCTCCCAGATGCGCCATTGCCCCGTGATTGTTGATTTTTGCCACTCTTTCTGGCTATAAGAACTAGATGTCAATGAGCTTGGAAAGCATACAAGCCTTTGTATACAGTCTAGCTTACGGTGCAATTGCCAACCAAAGAAACTGAAATTATATCAACGTTCTTAATTTACACGCGTGCACGAAGCAC